ACAAACCTTGCTGAGGCCATTAATTCAGTACTAAAAGGTACACGTCATCTACCAATAGCGAATGTGGTGAATAATACATACTTTAGGTTGGCTAAATTTTGGTGTGATAAAGGCAAAGAGATCGAGTGTCTGATAAATCGCGGTAAAATCTGGGCTCCGTCGGTGGTAGAAGCAATGGAAGCAAATGAGCGTATGGCAACCTCAATGTATGTTCATGACTTCGATCGAATTGGATATACTTTTGTTGTCATCGCATGTATACGTCGCAACGAAGTAGCAGATAGAGAATCATTTACTGTTAATTTACGACAAAGATGGTGTGATTGTGGTCGCTTTCAGGCATGGAGATATCCATGTGCTCATGCAGTCGCTGCATGTATGCATACTGGAATCAATTCATACACTTATGTTGATGAGTGCTTTCACCTACAAAGGATTAAATATATACAACCATGAGTTCAGACCGATCCCAAATGAATCTTATTGGGATAATCGAGATCATGATGAATGGTTGCCAAATCCACTACTTCGTAGAAGTCTGACGGGTCGACCAGAATCTACTCGTATTCATACCAGTATGGATATCCATATTAGAGAGAAAGGCCAACCGAAGAGATGTGAATTATATAGAGCTGAAGGTCATTCAAAAAGAAATTGTCCAAACCTCCCACGGTACATGTCTCAGCAGTAATCTTATTATTTTATAAATTTGTTAAACAATTTTATAAATTTTTAGATTATATTTGATTCAATTACTCGATTATTTATTACTAAAGGATTCGAACTGAAATGGTAAAATTTAATGATTTAATAATAATGATTTAATCATTATTAAATTTTAACTTTAATAATTTGATAATAATTAATAGATAAATTTAATGATTTAATAATAATTAGTAGTTAACTTTAATGATTTAACTTTAATGATTTGATACTAATTATTAGTTAACTTTAATGATTTGATACTAATTATTAATTAACTTTAATGATTTGATACTAATTATTAGTTAACTTTAATAATTTAATAATAATTAGTTGTTAACTTTAATGATTTAATTAATAGATAACTTTAATAATTTAATAATAATTAGTAATTAACTTTAACGATTTAACTTTATGATTTGATACAAATTATTAGTTAACTTTAATGATTTGATACTAATTATTAGATAACTTTAATGATTTAATAATAATTAGTAGTTAACTTTAATGATTTAATAATAGTAATGATATTCGATTCAATTACTTCAATTTGATACAAATAATTTGAATAAATATTAAAACTCTTGCCGGTGTCGGTGTGTTGTTGAGTAATAATGTTGAGGAGCACGTCGGTTTCGTTGTGGTCGTTACACTTGTTCAGGTGTTTGTTCATCATAACCAACCTGCTCATTCATCGGGGGCATAGGCTCCGGTGTTGTAAATGATATTGTATGATCAAAAGATTCTAGTGGGATATTATACATTGCCTCTTGTTCTGCTTCACGGTTAGAAGAACTGCCACTCCTACTCCCAGTCCTTCTTGGCTTCTCGGGTTTACCAAATTTTTTCGTATACTCTATAAATTGTCTTATTTCTCTGTTCGTTGTCAAGAATGGCTTTCCATGTTCCCAAAAAAATTCAGGTAATCCGAACTCTGAAAGTCAAAGTCATCCGCTTGTATGGGAGTGAGCATTGACAAGTATGAACCCCTATTGTTCAAATGATTGATATGGTTGGCATGCCTCACCGACCCTACCCCGCCCATCTAATCGATGGAGAGCATCATGATTTTCTGGAATGACTGGAATAGGTTGGTGGAACCCGAACTGCCTCAACACTATCGGCAAATTACTATTTGGTTCTCAACATTTTCAAACTTTGTAATTTACTCTTATTCCTTAAATTCTTTCAAAATTATAAATTCTTTCAAATTTAACCAATTAAGCATACAATACTAAATTCTAACATAGTATACCAACTTTTAATAATTTACTCTTATTCCTTAAATTCCTCAAATTTTACAAAACGATCCCTAATTACTATTTGGTTCTCAACATTTTCAAACCTTGCAATTTAATCCCTAAATTTATAAATTCTTTCAAATTTAACCAATTAAGCATACTAATACTAAATTCCAGCATAGTATACCAACTTTTAATAATTTACTCTTATTCCTTAAATTCCTCAAATTTTACAAAATGGTCCCTAAAACTTTACAATATTCCAAAATGGTCCCAACCTTATTTCAAATTATGTAACAACATATAAATCATTATTTCAGAGTCTAACAAAATATAATCAAAAAATTAATAAACTTATGAAACTAAAATTATGAGATCAATATGAAACCTTAAACCTTTAAAACAAGAATCAAATGAGATATAGGGCTTGAGTTTAAATTACCTCAATTTTTCGACAAAGATATGGCTATGCTCTGTGATTTTGCTTCTGCTGATCGATCTCCCTCTCACTCCTTCTGTAATTGAAAGCTCACAATGAATTGCCTAACCCCGAGCACTCTTATAAACACATTCGTAACTCACCCCGTGCATGCATTATTGGACTTATTTGTTAAGAAGACGTCGAGATTTCCATGAAGACGCCGAGAAATCCTTACCCAAATGTGAAGAAGACGCCAAGAAATCATGTAATAAACCAACAATTGCATGATACAGATGTACAAGCCCCCCCATATGCAGACGTGCAACCCCCTGCTCAACCCGTGATTTCTGTGCTCACCCTGGGACATGGAACAACATCTCCCTGCTCAACCCATGAGAAAAACATCCAGTCCCACATACACAACACTGAAGACGCCGAGAGTTCCTATAATGAATCCAACTGATGACGCCGGGAGATCAATCACACATTCACAGCTCCCACACCACTGAAGACGCTGATATTTCATATAATGAATCCAACAACACTGGTAAAGACGATGGGAAATCATATTCCCTGTGTAAAACGCCTCATTTGGGGAAATAATCGGCTGAGTGGATTATTTTAGGAATTAACGTTTCCCGCATGCATTATCTCGGCAGTTTTGTCGTATATCATTATAGTACATAGAAATTTTCATTAATACTTATTGGTCATATTGACTCAACTATTATAACAATAGTATAATAATTCATACATCATATTAAATATTTTAATAAAATAAACATACTACATTAAATATGTTATTGAAATATTATGTCGAATAACAACTATGATAATAAACATTTCATGAGAAAACATCAAACTAAAACGTCCATAAAAAATATTGAATAAACCCAAACCTGATACATGTGGGGCAAAAATGCCAGGATAATGCAAAATGGGAAAAAAAATTCTCATTCTAACGTGGTTCTAACATTATTTCCCCATCTAAGGCATTTTCTATAGTATACACCTAAAGACCAGGAGATATCTCGGCGTCTTTAGGCTAAAATTTTGCTTGTGGAGGTAGATGGAATTCTCGGTGTCTTTAATTGAAATAGAGTTGTAGAGGTAGACGGAATTCTCGGCGTCTTCTTGGTTTTTCGTTGCTATAGTGAATGTCCACAAGTTTATATAAAGTGGGTTGCTCCGCAAAGAATGATGAAAGCACCAAATTTTTGCCATTTTACACATTTCCAAACCTTTTCTATTTGGCTGGTTGCACGTGGCATTCTATTTTCATATTGTTAAGCACTAGTCTTAAAATAATGTTAAGCAATAAAATGTTCTGATGAACAGGGATGTAAAATCGGGTAATCGTTCAGGTTTCAGTCGGATCCTGGTAGGTCGGGTAAAATCGGATACAGGTCAAGTCATGTAAATTTGATGCTTCGACTCGGATCAGGTCGGGTCATTTTCAGGTTGATTTGACACCAGATACAGTTCGAGTTCAGGTCGGGTTACTTTCAGTTATGATCGCTGACAGTTCAGGTCCGAAGCAGTTAAAAAGCAGTTAATAAGTACGGGTCAATTTCAGATGCAAATAAATTTTGGAGAACTAAATTGAACAAATATGAAATTAAAAATAAAAATTTAAATAAATTAAACAACACAAAAGGGATCAAATCAAAATAATTTTAAATTGTGAGGTTGAAATTAATACAAAAAAGTACTAAATTATACCCATTTAAAAAGTTATGGGCCAATTAAAAAATAGAATTAAGTAATAAGTATGGGTCAATTTCAGATGCAAATAAAATGTGGAGGACTAAATTGAATAAATATGAAATTACAAATAAAAATTTAAATAAATTAAACAACACAAAAGGGATCAAATATGAAAAATATTGTAAAATGGACTAGATTACATTCATTTTAAAAGTTGAGAAAAAAATTAAAACAACTATATATATATATATAAATAAATAGTTTATTAAATAAATATGTATTATATATATAAAATATAGTTTATAGATTATCTATAATTATAATAATATATTGTATAAATTATATAGTTTATTAATATAAACTATATAGTTTTTATATATAGTATATATAGTTTAGGGTTTAGGGTTTAGCATTTATAGATTAGGGTTTATGGTTTAGGATTTAAGAGTTAGGATCTAGGGTTTAGGATCTAGGATTTAGGGTTTATATTTATATTTATATTTATATAAACTACATACTATGATTTATATTTATATACTATATTTTATACTATTTATATAACTATAGTTTATTTATATACTATATTGAACTATAGTTACGTATGACTATATGTAATATAGTAAACTATATAGTTTACATATGAACTATATAAATTTTATATACTAACTATAGTTTATACGTAAACTATATAGTTTATACGTAAACTATAGTTAGTATATAAAATTTACATAGTTAGTCTATATAGTTTATACGTAAACTATAGTTAGTACATAAAATTTACATAGTCTATATAGTTCATATGTAAATATCAACTATAGTTTATATGTAAACTATAGTTAGTATATAAAATTTATATAGTTCATATGTAAACTATATAGTTTACTATATTTACATATAGTTCATACGTAAACTATAGTTCATATATATAGTATATAAATATAAACTATAGTTTATATAAATAGTATAAAATATAGTATATAAATATAAATCATAGTATGTAGTTTATATAAATATAAATATAAACCCTAAACCCTAACCCCTAACCCCTAAACCCTAAACTATATATACTATATATAAAAACTATATAGCTTATATTAATAAACTATATAATTTATACAGTATATATATTTTATATACATAATATATAAAGATAAACTGTATAGTTTATATAATATATAATTCATATATAATTTATATATAAACTATGTAGTTTCTATATATCATTACTTCATATATAAACTATATAGTATTATAGTTTATACATGGTATATATAGTTTATACATAATATATATATATATATAAACTATATAGTTTATATATATATTACAGATACTTTATATATAAACTATATTATATATATATATATATATATATATATATTAGTTGTTTTAATTTTTTTCTCAACTTTTAAAATGAATGTAATCTAGTCCATTTTACAATATTTTTCATATTTGATCCCTTTTGTGTTGTTTAATTTATTTAAATTTTTATTTGTAATTTCATATTTGTTCAATTTAGTCCTCCACATTTTATTTGCATCTGAAATTGACTCATACTTATTACTTAATTCTATTTTTTAATTGGCCCATAACTTTTTAAATGGGTATAATTTAGTACTTTTTTGTATTAATTTCAACCTCACAATTTAAAATTATTTTGATCTGATCCCTTTTGTGTTGTTTAATTTATTTAATTTTTTTTAATTTCATATTTGTTCAATTTAATCCTCCAAATTTTATTTGCATCTGAAATTGACCCATACTTATTAACTGCTTCGGACCTGAACTGTTTTGGCCTGAACTGGTAGCGATCATAACTGAAAGTAACCCGACCTGAACCCGAACTGTATCTGGTGTCAAATCAACCTGAAAATGACCCGACTTGATCCGAGTCGAAGCATCAAATTTACCTGATTTGACATGTATCCGATTTTACCCGACCTACCAGGATCCGACTGAAACCTGAACGATTACCCGATTTTACATCCCTATTCATCAGAGCATTTTATTGCTATTGACCCATGTTAAAATTTTAATTCTGCATTATCCTGGAAATTTTCTCAATTAAAATTGGAACCACGCTTAATATTATTTTAAGACTAGTGCTTAACAATATGAAAATAGAATGCCACGTGCAACCAGCCAAATAGAAAAGGTTGGGAAAGGTGTAAAATGGCAAAAAATTGGTGCTTTCATCATTCTTTGCTGAGCAACCCACTTTATATAAACTTGTGGACATTCACTATAGCAACGAAAAACCAAGAAGACGCCGAGAATTATGTCTACCTCCACAAGCAAAATTTTAGCCTAAAGAAGCCGAGATCGTGGTCTTTAGGCGTATACTATAGAAAATGCTTTAGATAGGGAAATAATGTTAGAACCACATTAAAATGTAAATTTTTTTTCTCATTCTGCATTATCCTGGCATTTTTGCCATACATGTGGACATGTAAAAATTAAATAATAAAAAAAAGGTGCTGCAATAGTCCTACTGTAAAAGTTATGCTCGGAAAGACTCAATTTATTGTCCTTAATTTATCCAACTAGTCCCACCATAAAGTCCCTTAACCCAATGGGGAAGAACATGATCCATATATACAAAATATATATGATCATCAAAGGCATCATTATTCAAGGATAAGAACTACACAAATGAAACCCCAAAATTTGTCTGTTTCTAATATAAAAGCACGAGTGGTACCAGAACCATGGTGGGTTAAAAAAACATTTCACATCTGTTGTATTAACTCTAACCTTTTCTTGAGATTTTATTTATTTATTTATTTATTTGGGTTTTGCCCACCCTTTTCACCGACATTCCTTTTGCTATTAATGATAAGATGAGGAAAATGCCAAGCACTGTTGGGACAGATGGACGAGTACTGGTTTGATAGATTTTGTAATCATTGTTTACGGAGGAGAGACAAGAACCTCCCCCCCACCCCTTAAAACAACTATATGAGCCACTGCTCCATCTTATGCTTTGTTGTTTTGTTGGAACATTGAGAGCGCAAACAATGGGATTGCAAATTTTGTAACTTTGTTTTGCTCTATTGTTTCGATGATCCCTCCTCCAGTAACTTAAAATACATTTGCCAATGTAAAGTAGTTCGTATTAAGGATGAGAAACTTAGGGTTTAGGCCATGGGGCGGGCGGTCCCTTGGACTGTGTTTGTTGTCATATCTCGGGAGTCCCTACGTACGATATATTTTGTGTTATCACTTTTGCAGTCCATGCAATCCCCTGTTCAGGGTTAGCTTTTTTGCTTCATTATGGGGCAGAGGCTTCTACTATTCTAAAACCAATCCTCGCTGCCATTCATAAAACCTTTACCTTTTTTCGGAGCAGAGGTAAAACTAATCAAACCATATAAAGGAAGTAGACAACCCTAGCTAGGGCTGTGTTTATCATCTGCAGTATTTCAATTCAAGACGAACAAAAAAAAATTTTGGGTGTAAAAAATGACAATACTTAATTTTAGATGTTAAAAATTTTAATCTATTGAATGTATCAGAAAATAAATTATATAAATCAATTTAATTAAATTTCAAAACTTTAAGTTATAAAAAAGTTCTCACATAAATATCATAGAAATTATTTTAGAAGTGAAAACTATCATACAAAATTTCAAATTTAACTTGATTATTTAATATAATTATTTTTAAAAAGGAATATAAAAAATTATAGAGTTGGAATAAACTTAAGGGTAAATTACTTCGTTCCTTACTAAACTATACTCTCTCTCCTATTTTCCTCACCCAACTTTCAATTTTTATAATTTGCTCACTGAACTTTACAAATTGAATCATTTTGCTCACTTTGCCGTTAACTATTTAACAATGTTATGACATGACATAAGAAATAACATAAGCATCAAAACAATTCGTTTTGAAAAACTCAAATATACACCAAACGACGTCATTTAGAATTAATTATGAAATCTTTTATTCTTCTTCATTTTTCTGTATTTGTCCTTTTTCTTCCCCCTACTTTCTCTCTACTTTGCAACCGGTTGTTGCCGCCGGCCACTACGACATTTTCATTATGGCCAACGTCCATCGTTGTTGATGGTGGTCGTTCGATCTCAAATTTCATAGGTCGGTTCATCATGACCCATTGAGTCTGAATCTAGTGGTTGTTTCGCAGAAAAATATCCCGAAACCCGTGAATCTGGATTGAAACGTTTTGTATTTGTCACTTTCAATCTCAAATTCGTAGACTTAGGAGCAAGTTCCGACAAAATAGAGGTCGGGTTCAGACTCACAGTGTCAAGGTGAAGCGACCCATGAAATTTGAGACCGAATGACCACCATCTGCGATGGTCGACGGTGGCTGACAGTGGCATCCAGTCACCTTCAGTTTTTTTGTTAACGACGTTAGAAAAATAACAAGAGAGTGAGCAAAATGATTCAATTTGTAAAGTTCAGTGAACAAATTAGAAAAAATAAAAGTTGAGTGAGGAACTGTGTAATTTTCCCTAAACTTAAATTACAAACTCCTTTTTCTTTCTAAGAAAGAATCGGAACATAAGGACTCTTCACGGAACCCTGAGATTTGTTGGAAGCTTATTAGAATTAATTATGAAATCTTTTATTCTTCTTCATTTTTCTGTATTTGTCCTTTTTCTTCCCCCTACTTTCTCTCTACTTTGCAACCGGTTGTTGCCGCCGGCCACTACGACATTTTCATTATGGCCAACGTCCATCGTTGTTGATGGTGGTCGTTCGATCTCAAATTTCATAGGTCGGTTCATCATGACCCATTGAGTCTGAATCTAGTGGTTGTTTCGCAGAAAAATATCCCGAAACCCGTGAATCTGGATTGAAACGTTTTGTATTTGTCACTTTCAATCTCAAATTCGTAGACTTAGGAGCAAGTTCCGACAAAATAGAGGTCGGGTTCAGACTCACAGTGTCAAGGTGAAGCGACCCATGAAATTTGAGACCGAATGACCACCATCTGCGATGGTCGACGGTGGCTGACAGTGGCATCCAGTCACCTTCAGTTTTTTTGTTAACGACGTTAGAAAAATAACAAGAGAGTGAGCAAAATGATTCAATTTGTAAAGTTCAGTGAACAAATTAGAAAAAATAAAAGTTGAGTGAGGAACTGTGTAATTTTCCCTAAACTTAAATTACAAACTCCTTTTTCTTTCTAAGAAAGAATCGGAACATAAGGACTCTTCACGGAACCCTGAGATTTGTTGGAAGCTTATTAGAGTGGGGGTGCCCCCACCCTAAAGGGGGAAAAAACTTGTACTACATAAAATCTGAAAGGTTGAATAATATAATAAGATGCTGTTTTGGGGCTAAAGTAACTTGCAAACCACACGGTAGTTTTGGGCTATAAACATAACTTAGCAGCCTCTAAAAGTAGCTGTCAAGGGAAGATATCCGCCTTTGCAATTGCATGAGCCCATTTGAAAGTGTTTAAAAATTGTGAATGGGCCTGGATTCATATATTTTATTTGAGACTGGGTTTGGATTAAAATTATCTTTAATATGTTTGATTATATTAATAATTGTTAATTAGTTTGATGAGATAATAAATTAAAATTTTAAACCTTTATATTATTAATGAATTAATTTAAATTAAAAGAGTTATTTATTATTAGCTTATATAAATCTCAATCCTTTGTCATACCTATGTCATTTTTAGTGCTCAATACCTCAATAAATAAAATTAAGTTTTAAAGAAAATTTCAGATTGAATTGAAACTTCTTAACACAGACAAAATAAATTTTAAATATTAAACAAATATATTTATACATTCTATAATTAAATTTTAGTGAGTTTTTATGAATAAATAATAATTCCAACTAAAACAATCATAAAGATCTCTTTCCATGGCAGAAGTATAACTCGTTTTAGCTTCGAAATGATAACTCCTTTTAAAAGAAAAAGAATTGTTTTTCCAATTTTAGGCCCGTAGAGAATTTGAAAATTGAAGCTTTTGTCTCGAGTGAAAGTGGGGAAATGACGATCAACGACGAAAGTTCGGTGTACGTGGGAGGACTTCCCTACGACGCCACCGAAAGCTCCATCCGCCACGTCTTCAGCGTCTACGGTGCTGTCGTCGCCGTTAAGGTCTTCCTCTTTCCGTTGATTTTCACATACGCACACTTACTCCTCATCCTCACTGTTTACTTGCTTTCTTTTATGCATTTAGGGTTTCTATTTTTTCTCTCAATTCTTCGTTTTTTGTTTTCAAATAGTTTAGTAGCATGATGGTTCTCGAAAATCTTTAGTAATTTTACAGTTATTTAAAAATCAGTTATCAGTTTTTTTTTTCGGAATTAATTTGGGAATAGCGGATAAAACTTACCGGCGATGGAATTGGTATCTGTTGTTTTACTCATTGTTTCTAGAATTTTAGTAATGTTTGGCGTTAGGGTTTTCTGAGAAATCGAAGCTTGACAATGTGGGTGGTCCGCAGATTGTTAATGATCACACAACTAGAGGAAAATGCTACGGCTTTGTTACTTTTACAAATCCTCGTTCAGCTTATGATGCCATCAATGATATGAACGGCAGGGTATGTATTGCTTGGTGGTTCATGGATCACGGAATGATTCTGTTCTTCTTGTTTTGAAACTTGTAGAGATCTGACATTGTTGAAACTTGAAATTATAACTAGACTATTGATGGCCGAGTTGTGAGAGTTAATGAAGTGACCACCAGAGGGGGCAGATCAAATTTTTCTCGTGACCGCCCTAGACAGAGTGGATGGGATAAGGGACAGGACAGAGAAAGAGATCATGATCTTGATAGAAAACGGTATCGTGATCGACACAGTGATAGATCCAGGGATCGGGATCGGTCTCGGGGCCATGATTCTGGAAGAGAAAGGGGATATGAGCAACACGAACATGATAGCGCTGGAGAATACTCGATGGATAGAGATCACGGTAGAGATGTGGAGGATCATATGCAAGGAGAGAGCAGGAACCATATTCAGGATTGGGATAGGGATAATGAACTGAATTTGGATCAAGATAGGGAGCCTTCTAGAACAAACAGTTATCATAGAAGTGTTGATGAGGACAAGGAGCAATGGCTAAAGAGACGGAATGGGTAACACTCCCCAGTTGGTTGCTTAATGTTTTTTGTTTTTTCTCACAATAATTTTTCAGTAATGGAGTTATTAACTATGTTGATACTAATTCTATTGTACTTCATTTGCATGAACTGTTACTATATTCTTTCTTATGTTGATGGCTTTCAGTCCTATTCCTCATAATATGTTGGTTCTATTAAAGTATCGATTCTTCTTTATGAGCTGACTGCTGAGCTTCTATTTATTTTCCTCAGATTAATCACTTCAGTTTTAGCAATGTTTGTAGTTTTATTTCTGTGTGTGTATTACCACGGGAAGTCTTTTAAACTAATTCTCAATTTCGCAGCTTTACGAACAATGATCACGGCAGAGGACTTTCATCTGATTCAACTGATGATTACAATCAGGTAACCTCAACTTTTTTTGATGCTTGTTTGTGTAATCTCTTTTTCCTTTTTACTAATTATGTATTGTTTTCAGATGAAAAAAGAACTGGAAAGATCAATTCAAAGCCGAGAAAAACTTAAAACAGAGGTCTGCTACATCTTTGGAATTTTGTTTTGATTTTTCGAGGAAATTTGGTGTAGGAAGATGAATACTATATCATTCTGGTGTAGTCTAATGCATTTATTATGCTTGCATATGCACGCTTGTGTTTTCATTACCATGGCAATCATTAGAGTGAGAATATCACTATCCAAGGTGTTTTTACGTAGTCCAACCACCCTTCTTTCTTTATGGTCAATTTTATCCCCTTTCCCTCCAAGACTCAAAGAAAGACATACATGTGTTTGTGTGTGTATGTATTGGTATTTCGTTTACATTATTGTGAAGTGGTAAGAAAAGACATGTAACATTTTCTGTCTCATCAGGCTTCGCTGATGGAAGGGAGGTTAGAAGAGAGACAGCAGCTTGTTTTGGATTTACAGAAAAAATCTAAGGTATCTTAATGAAACCTGATGTTTTATTTTATTTGGCCTGGTACATTTTGTCTCAAAGAAGTTTATCCATACATACAGACCCTGGAAGATGCATTGGTTGCTGCTAAGAAGCTCTCTTCTATTCGCAAAATGCATTTAACCAAGGTAATCGTAATCCTCTGCGATACACTGCTCAATATGGTTGGAGACATGGAGTAAACTTTAACCTTTTCTTTTTGGTGTGCAACATTAACTTAAAATGAATCACCTGCAGGTGCATAAGTGTTGCATGCAAGTAAAGGAGTGCAGGGAAAAACTTAAAAGCTATGAACAGGAGCTTCAGGTCAGCATCTTCAGTCTGTTAATGATTTACATGCATTTGTCGTTTCTTATTTGTTCTGTTGTCCAGTTGAAAACATGCTATGGGGCCAAAGATATATGTGTTTGATTTTATGGCTGTGTTGTTAAGCACATAATCCATATCATTGTTTGTCATATACATCAATTTTTTGGTTTGTTAAGTTTTGTTTCATTTCTAAGATAAGGAGTCCATACTTTACTCTAAATGAGACTTGCATTGCATACAGTGGATGTTTCTAGCCTTTCACTATGCGGTGCTTTCATGGCTGGAATAGATCATAGTTATATATTTTCGGTATTGAGCCAAAGGTGGCTCAATAGTCATTTATGGTGAGTTTCTAAATGGTGATGAGCCGAACTAGGGTCTCAGCCTCGAGTTCCGAAGATTAAAGCATCTTTAAAGAATCATTCATGGAAGAAACAGTAGGAACTAATTATATTAACTCAAAACTTTACCACGCAGTGCCTTGTTGATTCAGCAATGGTAGAGTGTGAAGATGATGTGGGTGTACGGGGCGGCAGTCTGGCAAACGGGACTGCATGATTTGTGTTGGCTGTTCATTAATCCTCTGATGTGTCAGCTTTTGATTGGACTACTTAATCTTTATGTAGAGATATAGCATGAGTCCTTTTGATGTATATTACTGACAAATTTCAGAATGTTGTTATGCTTCAGTGTTCGTTAGGAATGTAATATCTCCATATAATTGGATGATGCGAATTCTAAATAGAGTGATTGTTTGTTTGGTTAGGAGTTAAACCAGGTTGTTTTTATTGACCTTGAAGCTTTGAGCCTGTTGTCCAACCCTCGTCTCGTCAACACCCACGTAAGAGTATTGCCTCCGTTACTTTAGTCCTCGGAAAAACGCTTTTCGGCTCACACCTTTCTAGAATGTATATTACATACTGTTCGAATATACATTTATTCAAAATTTAATAACTGATCCAATTGATTTTTTTATAATAAAAAGAAATAATTATGTAAGATTGAATTTGAAATGTAGTGTATACTGTTTTATTTTTAATGATAGGTTTTTGTCATTGCACTTCGAGTTTATTATTTTCGATTGACACAAATTGTATCGAAAACCCACAATCAGAATGTTTTACCCAAAATGAAACTAAAATTAATTATTGAAAAAAATATTCACACTTCTTAAAACTTCTTTTTTAAGTAGTGTTAAATTGTTTTATTTGTAGTTTAAAAAGTTTTATGATTAAGCTTTTATAAAATTTATACGTAATTTAATTGTTTATGTTGAGTTTAAGATTATTTTTATAGAATTTATCTTCTAACTATTTAATATTTATTGATGTAATTTATATTATATTGAATTATGAATGTAACACTTTTTTTTTTAATTTATGAAACTATAAGAATAATGTGAGCTTGCTTGACCAATCCCATATTTAGCCTTATCTATGAAGGGATGAGGGCAAATCTGTCGACAAAAGCAAAAGACCAAAATAATAGAAAACGCCAAAAAACATATAATCCAATGTTCAAACTTTTCCCGAATTGACATTTTAAGCGCAGATGGAAACAACAAAACAAACTTTCACTTTTCTTTATGCCCTTTTTACCCTCCCTTCATATTTCACATATATATTTTTTCTTTTCAAAATAATAGCATATGATTATGCAGAGAATTACATGGATACCGAGACCTAACCCTAAACGTTAAAACTGTTAGAATTTGAGAGTGATCTCACTTCCATTGCTTTCTTCACCTTCCTCTCTCAGTGCAGCTAATCCTTTTCTTTGCTCTCCACCACCGCCACCGTTGTCTCCGCTCTCACCTTTCCAGCTGCTGCTCTCAGATTTGCCATCTTCAATGCTCTCGGACCGCTCTCCTCCTCCCCTCATTTCGGGATCCGGCAGGCTATGGGCCTGTGAGGTGGCCTTGTACATGTGGAGTTGATGCTGGAGGGTGTGGTGGTGCAGCTGGGGTGAATTTAGAGCTGGCGTTGCAGCGGCCGCCGTAGTGTAGAATTCTTGGGGCACAGGTGATGCACAGAAGTGAGGTGGGGCATGGGAAGCAACCGGGTGGTGAGCGCCGTAAAGAGTGGGAGCCCCACCGTGAGCAGCTGCAGCGGCAGTGGCATAGTCTGGTGGAACCCATATGCCACCTAGGACTACAAGCTGCGGTGTTGGGGCTCCTGGTGCTTGCGGACTTGGACTTGGTCTCCTCGTATGTAACCTATATTTCTGTATAAAAAAAATGAAAAACAAAAAATCATTATATGAGTAAATGATTAATACCGACAATTTTCTTTTTTGGAACTTCATATCAGTTAATTTGTTCAGTATTGTACTGTGTTAGTACAAAAGCTCTTTCTTGCATGTCTCGGTTACCTGTAGATGGCTTTTCACTTCATCATTGGTCAAACCTTCAACCTTCATCAGCTCCCTTATTTGTTTTGGAGTGGCAACTGCATGTAATCACCACAACGATATTCTCAGATCAGAACCAATGATTTGGGTAATCATAGCTTGACTTCAATGCAATTGCATTAATTTCACCAACGTTTAAATCAAATCGAACTCGAACAAAGTAAAAAATGGAGAACTTTTCTGATACCTTGAGAACCACCAAGCATCTGGAGAGCATTGACAAATCTCCTATGCAAATCAGGTGACCAGCACCGCCTAGCCTTCCTATGAGGTTGACTACCATTTGTACTAGCATTACTATTATTGGTTGTTTGCCCATCAGCTGCGTTACAGCTGGTTCCTTTGGCTTGCTCAACCAAAGCTCCCCCGTTCCCAACTTTACCTGAGTTCTCTCTCCGTTGACAATCATTTTCAGTGCTTTCCAAGCTTTTCTTGTCTTCCATATCTTTATTGACAGAGGCAAGAGCTAGCTCCGGAAGAGCTTGCAAAGTCGAACCAGGGCTCGAGTTTCGTTCTTTGGAGAATGGAAGGAAAGCTCCTCCATTTCTCTGCTTGGTATCTGAGGCCAACTTGGGACTAACACTGAAACCGATATCAGTTTCTTTAGGGGACGTGATTGTGGACAGCGGTTTCGTTTCGTTTCCCGCCTGGCTCCATAGCTGTGCACTCATCATCCAGTTTGATTTATCGGATATGTTTTGCGATTTGTCTGAATTCTCGGAGCTTGAGTTCGTGAGGGGTATGAATTCTTCAAGAACTGGCGTTGATCCTTGATTCGTTCGGCATGCATGTAGTTGCTGCCTTGAAGCCTCCACGGCTGAACCAAAGAAAAGTATTAGCAAATGCTTTTAGTTCTTTAGAAAATGTATGCAAATGTCGGGAACCTTTAAATTCAAAGATATTAGACTAACAAATAGAAAGGGAGCTCTAACTTCTATAAAACAAAAAGGCAGGAACTTGGAAACTAACACCTCAGCCGAAAGAACATGAATATCCACCAGTAGCTAGGAAAATATATATTAATTTCTTTTTTGTCATTTGGATCTTAAGGCGATGATGATTCTATTATAACCCCCCTTGTAATAAAACAATATCAAGATCCTAAATATAAATAGTAAGCCCTTTTCTAATGAATCCTTTAAAAAGAAAAAACGAAATGTTTTGATACTCACCATTGGTTAGAAGCTGCATGCAAAGGGGAAGCTCACGCTTGAAAGCGTCGATCTTAAGGCGTTCTTCCTCAAGACGAGAAAGGAATTCTTCAAGCTTCTGGGTTTGATCAATATGCTGATCCCCAAATGATTTCAACAACATAGAATAACTGTGAGGTTTGCAGTCAAGGGATAGTCCAGAAGGTGATGCCATATTTTCTCTTTACTTCTTCTTTAGGGTTTTATAAAAAACAAACAAGAAACTTATATTTCCTTTTGTTTTCTCAGGAAAAGTTGTTGTTTGGAACGATACCAGTCATACTATAATAGCAACAAACAATAAGGATTGTTTGTATACAGAAACAAACAAAAACAAAACAAAGACAGGACCGAGAGAGCAGTGGGTTTGGCTTTGCTTTGAGAGAAGGAGGGAAAGGGAAGTTATGTTGTGTTGTGAACACAAGAAGGAGGATCGTCTCTTTTAGGGGTGAGTTCAAGGAGGGGAATAAAGTAGGGGTTGTAGAGAGAGAAGCTAAATAAAGGGAAGAGGATGAAAAAGCAAAGGAGCACGGTAATTTCTTGCAAAAAAAAAAAGCTTAAAGGAAAAAATATATGAAAGATAGAAGAGAATCAAGGTGGTCTGACAGCAAAAGGATCATGTGCTTAGCCTGCGTACGATATTCAAAATCGCCTAATACAAAAGATGATTCTTCTTATTACTGTTTTTGTACTTTTAATTTTCTTTTGTCACTTTTTATTGTTGGTAACCCTACTATCCTTTGATTCTTCTTCCCTTACTTTATAAAACAAAGGAAACAAAGGTTTGTGTTTGATCTATTTTGTGTTAACTTTACTGATATGTTCAATATTTGAACGTTGTAAATTTAAATATTTTTAAATAAAAATAAATGTTGTTAATATTATAATATTTATATACAATTTCTAAACTTAATTTACGACTAGGGATTTCAAAGTTAATGTATTTTCAATTTTGACTAAGTTTAACAGAAAAATGAATCATTGCATATGCAGTGAGGATCCTTACCTTTGTTGAGCTTTAATTGATATCTTTATATATATAACTAATGATTTCAACCAATGAAAAATATTTATTTCACTTAACCAAAAAATTTATTTATTACGACTTTTTTTTTTTCTTTTTATGTCAACACTCTCAGGGATAAATCTTCATTTTTCCCATGTAAATGTGAATATAGTTAATTACTTAAAAGTTAATTATGAGTGGATTATCAAGGCAAAAGAAAAAATGAAATTAATAATTTTCAATAGTTGTAACCATGCCCTAAAGTTTTATAAAAACTATTTTTTATATAAATTATGCATATAAAAAATAAAATTATAATACTCTTAAAAAATTAACATTTATTAAAAAAGAATTTGATCTTATTTTTTTTAATAATATTTTATAAAATATAGTAATAAAAAAAATTAAAACCCGATTTTAATCTCATCGAGATTCACCCTCCCAAAACCTATTATAATTATTATTATTAATATATTCACCTATGTAACATAAAAGTACACCTAATTAAAATGTAAAATTATCTCACAAAGATAATTATATCATAAAAACTTTATTTTTTTAATGAGAATATAATTTATAAATTAGATAGATTGATGATCAAAATAATTTAAAAAAGGATAGTAGAAAATGTAAATACATATATCATTGTAAGTATGTATGTATTTTTATGTACAAAGATAATATTAGATATATATACTTACACCGGTATAAATATATGTTTATTTCTATGTACTATGATAGTGACAGATTTACATACTTGCATCAATGTAAATCTCGTACCTAGAAGTAAATACATGCTTACAACATTGTAAGTATGTAAATCTCCCGCATATAAATAAATACATACTTGTACTGATGTAAACATGTACATCTAGATTTTTGAGTTAAAATTCAAATAAAAATAGAGAAAAATATTATTTTAATATTTGATAGGAAAAATTATTAATAAGTACACGAGTCCATAAACGAATTTGTTCGTGCATATAAACAAATCAAATATTACTCTATTCGTGCTCATTCATTTATTAAGCGAACATAAACTTTTATTCAAACTCGCTTATTTAGTTTAAGAAACGAGTATTATATGAACCATGCATCGAGCTTTTGATTGATTTACGATCTATTTTAACCATATCATATATTAATTTATCGAATATTAATATTATACATGAATTTATATAACTTTATTTAAACATTTTAATTTTTAAATCATAACAACATAATTTAGAATTTCTTTCTCCTCCCTGATATGATGAAAATGTTCATATAATTGGATATTAGACACATGTACGGTAAGAAAGAAGGCAAGGGCATCGGTAATTACCCAAGATAAGAACTCCATCGTTCTTTTTTTTCTTTTCAAGTAACATTGATATGAAAAAGATATAAGGATTCTACAGGATTAATTAATTGCAGAGAAGCATATACCATCAATAATTTATTTGTTTATAATTTAGCAAAAGATGGTTTTAGTATGAATCCAACGACGCAACTTTCTTTATGGTTTCAAAAGTAGCATTATTGGAGTGCAAACCAAGAGGAGGGGAAGGGGAATATCTAAGCTAAAAACGAGACATTCATCGCAAAAGAATATAATATTGTGGGGGCTAAGGAAGGAATATCTGTGTTCCAATTCTACGTCTCTAAATTCACAATCCCATCCCTAAAACAATGATAAAGGACGTTTAAGACCCGGGAATCTTCCTCTGCTACTCACTTTAATGAAGTGGCTCCCAAGCTAACAAGATTCTCTCCCCTATTACTTTTATTTTATACACTCTCCTTTTACTCATCACTGCTCCGGATCCGGATCCGGCTCCTGCTTGGAATTTTGGATGGTCCGATATAGCCAGTCAATTGACCAAGGAAATATCTGACCAATTCATTTGGTATGAAGTTGGAATGGAGAAGAGACTCCACTTTTCTTGGCACTACTTATTTTGTAACCTAAATATATTACAACAGCTTTAATAATTATATGCTTGTTGTGTTGGATAATTTCTTCAACATCAACCAGCTGGTATTCTTAATAAATAATGTGCATGGGATACCCATAAGTAACACGCATGGTGCATGCATTGATGTGAGACGGAGAGGGAAGGGTATCATATGGATGGGAAACGGGTAAAGACAAGAAAAGGGATCTGATCCGATAAGATCCGGAATAAGCAAATCAAAGTAATGAACGAACTAGTAAGAAGTGACTTTTTTTTCTTTTATATTAGGTTAAATCAAAAGTAAAAGGGGAAGTTGATGGAGCGAGAAAGACTGCTACTGCTGCTGCTGCTGCATGCATCGAATTCCCTTAGCCTTAAACACTCAGTTGTCAGCAGTCACTTTCTAAAATTCCAAAAGAAAATAAAAGAGAGAGAGGCAGTGTCTTGTGGTACAAGACTCTCCACTCCAACTCAGGCCTTTTCTCTTCTCCACATTCTCTTGTCTTCTTTCTACCTTTAATGTTTCCGGGAGAAAGAAAATAAAGGAGATTCTCCTCGTGACAGGTGTCACTGATATTCCCTCACACCCCCTTCTGAATATCCCTTTTGTCTGCTGTTTTATCTTTCCATTTCATATATAACCCCCGAATATTCCCCTCCCGTATCCTATATCAATCACAATATTACAAACTTATGATAATACATGTTTTTCAACTAGAAAATGTAAAAATATTAATATATATATATATGTATATATCAATAATAACAAAATGTGTACCCTACATGTACTGATCCAATCAAGAGTTGAATTTTTGGTATGAAATTTAAACACATACATAGGGAATCATACCAGCTTTACCCAGCAGTTTTTACTCTCCCTTCTCCTAATTGCATTCCATAACTCTCTGATAGACTGTTGTGAATTTCCAGGTAGCAAACACAACAACAGATATAGAATCTCCAATCTTCAATAGTCTTAACCAAGTGCAACTACTGTTGCTTGCAGCATTTAATTGCCAGAAAGGTGCGTCCTTTAATGGTATATGCATTCGACCATACTATCCATAATGAACCTTCCTTAATTAGTACAGCTTTAACCAACTGCAGCATGCCAAGACTCAAGATCCTTTAACCCCAGTCCACCAACAAAATAGAAAATTTATCCAGTACAAATACGTAGCTAAATTCATTTAGATAAGAAATAAGGCGAATGGAGTTGGATTATGTGTGATATTTTTGTTTCCAGTTTCCCTAAAGCATGTAGAATAAATTCTTCGGCCTTTGCGGCTATTCCTTACTCATCAATCTATATACAAAGGTCCTTCTCATTTTGTTTACAAGTTTATCGGTTCAAAATAAAATACCAAATTGGTAGTGCATAATTAATCAATTATTAAGAAAAGAATTATTTTACTTAGGAAGAAAATGGTAGAGTAGAGGAAGTTCCACTTTTGGCATGTTAATATATTATATAAAATATGAAGAAATAAATATATGTTGAGATGAAGATGAACATGGATTGGTTGTGAGTTCAGAGACTCACATGGTATGGGTTTGGTTCTTTATTGGATTAACTGAGGGAAAAGGCGTATCTGCAAACAGCCTATCCCTTACTTTTTATCATACAATTTGGACCACAGTAATCTAAAAGAATATTATTTTGGAGAAATGGTTCAATTCAAAAGGCAAAGTTTCCAATTCCATGCTCCAATTGGCTATTTGGAACTATTTTAAACTATCAAAATAAAAAGGAAATTATTTTGTATTTTCGTCTGATGCACATATTAATTGTATGTTTAATTAAAATACATTGTATAATTTTAATCTTACTATTTAATTTTTAACTATTCTCTCCTAAATAATCAAAATTGTATATATGATTTAAAAAAAGATTTTTTTTAAAAAAAAATTGATATATACATACAATTTAATGGGAAGTGTGCTTTTTAGAGGGATATATTTTTTATAAAAAAATAATCAAAATAATATAGTAATAAAAATAAATAAAACATTTTTTATTATACATGTTATAAAAAGTTTTGAATATTAATTAAGTAGTGATTATTTTAGAAAAAAAATTAATGGATGTAATTGCATTCATATTTGATATTCAAAATGTATGTACATTTTTTTTAACAATTTCTGTCTAGAGGTCGGGATGGTGAATTTTACAACTAATGAGTCTTGAATTCATAATCTAAAGGAGAGAAGATGTGTTAATTAAAATTTTTAACTATTTACTTTAGAAGTTGTTGACAAATGTATATATAATTTTTAATGTTAACGTGTCCATCATTTATATATATATATGTCACATGTCATAAGTTATCTACATAATATATTTTTCACAAATATCTGTAAATTATATTATACATCGAATATATATACTATAAGAAAAATAATAAATATCCTATCAAATGATCTCAGTAAAAAAAAGTATGTTGTTCTTTTTAGAGGTTTTGAATTCAAGCAACAACATTTGCAGGGTATGTTGTCAATTGATTAATTTTTTTGAACAAATA